ATTGGTTTAAGAGTGCCTGAAGACTAGACTAATCCTTCACCAATGGTTTTTTGAAAAAGGTTCTTAAGAGTCACCACTGATATTTTACTCAAAATGTCAGAAAAAGGAAAAGGTTTTCAAAAATCAATAATGGTCTTGACAACCATAATTGGGTTCACGGGTCTGTTACGTGTAGGAAAGTATTAGGCACCATACAACGCCCTAGCTAATTCGGTACCCTATGATGATTTTAGCATAATAATGAACAATAATTTAAATGTTTACCCCTTTTATTAATTATTTACATATTAAATATCTACATGGTGAATGATGTTATTGTGACAATAATATAAATAAAATAATTAAATAAATAATGAAGGAAAAAAGAAAGATTGGTGAAAATACCTTTATAGCAAGCATTTATAGAACCTCAAAATCTTAGTACACAGGTGCGTTTTGCTAGTATTTCGCTTTACAAAAGCTTCACAAACACTTAAGAAAGTATAGAGAGGGAGGAGACAAAGATTCTACTTGGATTAGGTCAACTGAATAGTGTGTGGGGGAATGCGTGCATTAGGCACACATTTATAGGCACCTGAAAACATGGAACGACCATTCTGGTTAGGGAACGGATCATTCCCAAATAGGGTTACATGTTATTTTTTATGGTCGGAATGACCTGTTCTAGATTGTGAACAGGCCATTTCTAACTAGGGTTTTAGGCTATTTTTGTGGTTTGGAACAGCCCATTCTGGTTTGGGAATAACCTATTCAACGCCAAAAACCCTATCTTCAAACTTTCGGGCCTTCTGTTGTTGTTCTAGTCTGTTTTGGTGGTATTAGGGGTTGCTCGTGTCATTTTAGTAGTCTTTTGTCCTTAGTCTTGACAACTCGGGCGAAATATGGTGTCTTCACAATCTAATAAAATATTCATAATTAAAATTATATCCTTAATGTTTAAGAAAAAATTTAAGAAGGTGGCAAATTGGCTACTAACTAACTATCGTAACATAATAAGCCAAGGCTTAATGTAAAAATTTCAAGTGGTGTTGCCTTTCAATTTCTTAAAATTGAAGAATGTTGTTTGGTCAAATATTGTTGCATAATTTCTCAATTCTTCTAGCTTATTCTTATTAGCTTGATTTATTTTTTAACACAATCTACATTTTCAAAAGCCATGCAAAAAGATAGAAATATAAGTGAGACAAAATGATGAAACTAGTGAGGAGAAGCATGTTGAATCTTCTCATCTAGCTCCATTGATGCTCTATCTTCATCCATGGATCTCCAAGCTTCACAAATGAATCAAAAATATGGTGTGCCACTTCTTTAGGAAGATAAACAAGTGGTGAAGAACTTGTGACAAGGAAGAATTCCTTGGTAAAAATTCATAAGGAAGAAATGCTCCAAGATGAGAGAGCTAAGAGAGAATTTTAAAAATCAAATTCTTATTCCACTCAAAAGTGGCGCAATTACATAAAGAGGGATGTATATATAGAGTTTGGTAGCTTGTGATGCAAGTTAAGCTAACCATGGTTAAAGGTAACAAAGGTTAGATTAACTTGTACTCAAGACTACTAACTCTAGTTACATTTTCAAATTTGAATTTCTCTTCTAAAAATGTCACTATCCTAGATATAAAAGATTCAATGGTAGCATGCCACATGACAAGGTGCAAAAGGTGTGAATAGATGTTAACATCCTAAATCTAGAAGAGCTAATGAGAGCATGCTACATGACAAGAATTTAAAAGTGTGATTAGGGATGACATATGTGACTTATTTGAGCTTTGAATAAACCATGAGATGTGTGGTCCACCAAGTGGATGTCCAACTAGGGGTTTACATACCCTCCTAACTCTCTCATGGATCATTCAAGCCCAATAAGCACATATCTCATTTTCTAGTTACACTTCTTAAAATACTATGTACATACACTCCTAAAAATAAAAATTACAAGCAAATAAATTCCTATATTAATTGACCTAAAAATAATATATTAAAATTAAGAAAATATTTACAAGAAGAAATGATGGCAAACACTAGGAGAAGTGATAGGTGTTCTTCTCCTCGGATTCACCAAAGCTTGGACCTCTTCAATGGAGCTCAAAATCCGGATGTAAGACACTTGAAGGAAGGAAGATTTTCGGATCTAAGGTTTCCTAGGCTATGGATGGAAGCATCTAGTGTATTTAGACTTAACTCACATGTGCAAGTCCGGTTCACATTGATGCTAGGTGTATTTAGGTTTGATTTAGTGTGCATTTAGGGTTGAATTTGAGTCACACATGTTCAGCCAAGGTGGCACCATCCATGTGACACAAAATGCAACTTAAATGCATGCTAAATTAAACCTAGTTTTGAATTTTGAATTCAAAACTTAACTCACATGTGCAAGTCCGGTTCACATTGATGCTAGGTGTATTTAGGTTTGATTTAGTGTGCATTTAGGGTTGAATTTGAGTCACACATGTTCAGCCAAGGTGGCACCATCCATGTGACTCAAAATGCAACTTAAATGCATGCTAAATTAAACCTAGTTTTGAATTTTGAATTCAAAACTTAACTCACATGTGCAAGTCCGGTTCACATTGATGCTAGGTGTATTTAGGTTTGATTTAGTGTGCATTTAGGGTTGAATTTGAGTCACACATGTTCAGCCAAGGTGGCACCATCCATGTGACTCAAAATGCAACTTAAATGCATGCTAAATTAAACCTAGTTTTTCCTAATTCACTTAAACTAATAATCCTCCTTAAATCCTAATCTAATGACCTAAATACAATGGTCAATCAAATACAATGAATAGGAAAAATTACAAGAATGAAAATGAGCCCAATATTGGGTACCAAAAGCCCAAAGGCCCATGAAGCCCAAAACTAAGCCCAATAAGCCTATGGCCCAAAAATGCTACTCTATGTGGTCCAAAATACAAGACCAAAATATGTGAAACCTATACTAATATAATATGTACAAAATATAAGAAAAATGGATTTATTAAGAGATGGCCCATGTGAAGCTCAAATTGGGCCTTCCAGGCCCATCGGGCCCATTGGGCCTTGACTGGCCCAAACCTTCATGTCTAGCCAATTCCTCTTGGCTCCTTCAATGTGTCACCCCTTGCCTTCCTAGGCATGATTCCATCAAGAAATATACACAAAAAAGAGAAAGTAGGTTATTAAAAATGACCTAATAAAACTCAATAAAAGATTATGTCTTCTTTCTTTAAGTCTAATTCACTTCTCTTAGTTTCTTTTGAACTTGATCTCCGAGCATAGTGTCATCACAAAATAAATTAGAAATAATTTTTTTAGGAAAGGACTTGTATGGTTGATTGTGAAAGAAAAATTTTAAAAAGTTTATGAATTGTAAATGAAGAACGGTGTGTCATTATGACCCTCAAGTTTTGTAATAGAGCAGAATCAAAGATGAAGAGGAAAACAAGGAAAAATGAATGTGAAATGTGTTGAAGAGTTAGGTGAGTAGAATATTAGAAAGGATGTCATTTAGCTAGGGTTTGAAGGGAGACAAATGAACGCGAAAGTGTAGTATATTTAGGTATTGTACCAAATTGGTTTATAGGCCTTTCCTAAATTTTGGGCTTTATTTGGTTGGGTTTAATTTCTGATAAAAATATATTTTGGCATATGATAAACACACCTCCATTCTCGTATAAACATACCCCTTTTTTAAAAAAAATATATATAAAATGTCTAAATTACCCTTAAAAAAAATAAAATTCTTAAATTTACACCCCCGCACTCCACACCCCCTTCCCCGCACCCCACACCCCACACCCCCCTTCTTCCTAAAGTGACAAACATTGTAGTCCGTAATTGCACTCCCAGTTTCTCTACAGTGGTCAGGTCTCTATTGTTCACCAGAAGCATGAGGCCCGCCCCAATTGCGGTGAGCGTGGCTGCTGGCACACGCATTGCACAGAAAAAGTTAATCCGGAAAAAAAACACCAGTTTCCGGCGCCGGCTTCACGGATCTAGCATCACCGTCTAACATTCCGGAAAAATGCACACCAAATCGCGCGCAGTCATCATTTCGAGATCGAACGCACGAATTCCAGAGCATTGCGGAGAGGCTGAAGTAGACAGTACCAGCACCAAATGGACAAAGCAGTAGCTCATCCAGATTCAAGGAACAACGATCCGCGATCGCAAATCAATCAGAGTTCAATAAAAGAGCTTCCAAGGTCGGCTTCGGGATTCACCAAACGTCTCAGAAACTCGCCAAGCTCGCCAAGTGTAAGCGAATTACAAACCTATTTGAATTGATTTTTAGAATCATACGATATTGAACTTTTAATTCGTTTTGATCTCGCAATGGCTAAGAGGACTTCGATTTTTGACGACCCTACCATGGAAATCCAAGAGCTTACGGCGGTTATTAAGCAAGACATTACCGCATTGAACTCCGCGGTTGTGGATCTTCAGTTACTCTGCAACTCTCGGAATGAGAGTGGGAACGCTTCCACCGACACCACTAGCTTCTGAGTCACGAGGCTCGCCGCAATTGAGGGGCCTCGTGCTTCTGGGAACAATAGAGACTGGCCACTGTAGAAAATTTGAGGGTGCAATTGCGAATTGCGGACTACAAAGAAGGGGGGCTTTAGGAAGAAGGGGGTGTGGGGTGTGGGGGTACGGGGAAGGGGGCTGTGGGGTGCGGGAAGGAGGGTGTAAATTTAGAAATTTTATTTTCTTTAAGGGTAATTTAGACATTATATATATATTTTTTTAAAAAGAAGGTGTATTTATACGAGAGTGGAGGTGTGTTTATCGTCTGCCATATATTTTTCATATTCGGATCCACTCAAACATCCACGTTTGTTTTTTTTTTTTTTCACCCACCCAAGCTGATGATCCCCTTGAAACTGTCCAATTCATTATTTCATCGTCAAATACTTTGATTTTCGGTCAGGCTTCGATTTATTGTTCACATTCCTATATGTGGGTATTAATATTTATTGATTATAACATTCAAAAAACTATTTAAGACTCGTTTTAATAATAATAATAATAATAATAATAAGTTGTCCACTATATATTTTCATTAAACCAATATTTAAAATCATAAAATAACAAGAAAACCCTTCAATCGCAGTTTCTCTACCTTTTTATTTGCCAAAGTATTAAAAAAGAAACTAAGTGTGAACATTACAACATCATGTTCGTGAAATAACAAAGCAAGTAAACAATTTCCTGGGTATGCAGAACATTATATTTCCCTTGTGCCTTATGTCTTAGATCGGAAAAAGTGCAATATCTATGCTAAGGAGCATGAACGTGTAATGGGAAGTGGTGGATCTGAGAATGAACCATTTACAATACGATTAGCAATCCAGCTATTTGCTGCGTCAGTGTAGTGCACGCCATCCCAGCTAATGTGTGAAGAAGGATCTTTGCATGAACCAGCATAAATTTCTGTTCCATTAATCGTTGCATTGTAATTCCCACAGTAGAAGTGATTGCCACCCTCATGATACCCACAACAGATTTTAGATGGGTCTTCAAATCCTGCAAGTGAAGATAAATAATTAACAGGGAGAGATCAAACAATTCCATATGAAATTCACTATGATTATATGTGTCATAACCTCTTCTATACTATGAATATCGATGAACCTTATTATTGAAATTGCTTGATTTCTTAATTCAAAACTTATGTTATTAATTGAAATCAAAGAAATGGTAGATTTGTTCTGTCCAAAAATAAAAAATAAAAATGAACTAGGATTATAAACTTATAATCTAAAATTTAATAATTTGTCTTTACTTTATGTCCACTTTTTTATTTTCAGATAAAAAAATTATAGATGATATGAGTAAAATATATTTTTAATTTTAATAAATTAATTTTGATTTTAAGTTTTTCAATTTTTTGTGTGTTAATTTTAGTTTTTAAAAATAATTTTTTTAACATGATCATATAACATGCATAGATATATGTTACAATTATACATCATCAATAAATAATAATATTGATCAATTTTAAAACTTTTAATATTTATAAAACACTAAAATTATAGAAAAAATGTAAGAGAACTATATAAAAATCCGGCCAAGGTAAAGCAACTAGGCAATAGGCGGCTAACTCTAGTTTTGCTCACTTTAATTATTTCAAAAATGTTTGATTTGGTTTTGTTAGGTTCATCCAATGAAGATGAAACCTAGCTCAATGTTCAACTAGTGCTTCACAATTTTATGCTATTTTTTGGTCAAATTTTAAGCACTCTTTCTTTTGTTTTTCTCATGCATTTAGAACACATACACCTCTGTTTTGCCTCTATTTTTAATGCTTAAAAATTGTTAAAAGTTTCAGCCACAAAGCAAGACTCAAAGAAACCTAATAGGAATTAATGTTTAACAATTTTTTTGACAAAACTTTTAACAAGACATAAGAGAAACCTAACTCTAGGAAATTTGCTAGAACTAATAGCAAATCATGAACTCAATCATATAAAGCAAAAGAACATTTAAGTAGGCTCAGATTTATAAAGCAAAAGACGCACCAAACTATTTGACTCAAACAACACAAAAATTAGGTCAAACAAGCTAGTCTAGGATTTTACAACATGTAAAAGGACTACACATAACTTATAGACAAAACAAGTGATTCAAAAACAAAACTAATGCAATATGAATGTTGTCCAATCATGGACTCATGTTAAGAATGGAGAAGAATCAAACAAACATAAAAAATGCACAAGTTTAAGGAAACCTAGGCGCACAAATACAATTGATTCAAGAAGAATTAGAAACAAGCAAACATGACTCAATTAATTCATATGAGACATATAGGATCTATCAAGATGTGTATTAGGCTTAGATCCATACAGAAAACACAAATTTAGACATAGACAAGGAAGGAACAACATGGATTCAATGAAAAAGATTAGAAACACATAACCTCAAGAGCACTAGGCTCTAGATACCAAAAATGATGGAAGGAACTTGAAGAAGATTGATGTTCATCCAAGTCCAATCCGTCCAAGACCTTTAAACTCTTGAGGAGACTTGCTTTTGATGCTTGAGGACACTTTGAAGAAACTCCAATGGTGAAGGAAGCAATGAAGGAGGTTCGGCCACTTCAAGAAGCTTGAAGAAGCTTGAGGAACCAAGGCAAAGGTTGAAGAACCTTTGAGGTAAAACCTAAAGAGAGAGTTCTCTAAGATTTTGGAACTCTTGAATGAGAGAGAATTTCTGAATTCTTATTCTCATAAATGTCAAAAGTGAGCTACAATGAAGGAAATTCAAATATATAGGGAGAGGTAGCTTGGAGAGGAAGCTAACCTTAATCATGGTTCACTAAGAACCATGGTTAGGTTTGCTTAACCGTCCAAGGTTTAGAAACTTGGAGTGCAAGGTACTCACTTAGCTTGCTTGGTATGCAACCTAAGGAGTAGCTTGTGCTTCAAGCTTCTAAGCTTGAAGAAGGCAAAGAGAAATCCGGCCAAGGTAAAGCAACTAGGCAATAGGCGGCTAACTCTAGTTTTGCTCACTTTAATTATTTCAAAAATGTTTGATTTGGTTTTGTTAGGTTCATCCAATGAAGATGAAACCTAGCTAAATCAAATCTATGAAAAATTAGGAGCAAAATGAGTTCAATATGTAAAATTTTGCCTTGACCCATTTATGGCCCAATTTCTATTCACACCCTCAAGCATTGCTAAATGCCACCCCTTGGTGTGACAGAATATTACCTTCTTTCTTAGCATTACTGATTAGCTCATACTTAGCAGAGAACATGTCCACATACACAAATGAGGCATCAAGGTACACTGCCCTCAGCTTGACCACTGTATCATTGAGCTTTCTATTGAACCCTTTGGCCAAGTCGTTTTGGTATACGACACAGCCGTTTTGATCAAGATATCCAGGCACTGGAGTATAATTGTAGGCATTGTGCATGGGCATGGCCACTGGTAGGCAACCAATGGGGCCTGTGTTATGGATCCAGAATGTCCTTGCTCCTTCATTGTATAAATACTGACATGCATGTATGGATGTTCCTATTAGTACTCTGCCACAGTAGATATTATAAAAAATAATAGGGGTGTGCAAAAAATTCAAGTTATTCTATCCATTTGAACTGATTTGATCATATTATAAAATTCGATTTATTTTAATTTTTAAGAAAAGAATTGAATTATTATACTTTTCAAAAAAACATTTAATTAACATATTTATTTTATAAAGTAGATTGATTTGATTTTTTTTTTTTATAAAAAAAATCAATACGTATGAGTATAAGTGAATAAATAACTATACTGAACTGATTTTATTTAAAAAAAAAGAAAAACTTGATTTATGTTTTAAAAAATTAAATTGAAGTATTTTATAAAAAAGCATTTTTAACACTATAACAAAATTGTCACATAGTGATACACATCTTATAGTGACATTATACATGTTACTAAAAATTACTTTTACTTATACAATAATCACAATATATGTTAGTATATTATTAAAAAGTGTGGGTATAGACTATAGTGACACACAAAATATATTGTTAAATCTCATTCAAAATTAATACTAAAATTGTGTGTAACTATATGTCAAATAGACATATATCTACATATATTGTACTTATAGTGACACTTCTTTTTAAATGTCACTATATGTAACATTTCTTGTAAGTAACTTATCCACTTTATAAAAGAATAGTTTAATTTACCGAACTATTTTAATAACATGGATGACTTTAATTTGATTTAAATTTTAAAAAAATACTGTTCATGAACAACCTTAAATTAAAAAACAAATAAAAATAAGATACAATCCTTGTACATTGAATCACTTACTATAACTTGGTTTGATAATTGGTCCACTATGTCTGATATCACTGCTTCAGAATCTTCCTGGCCCATTCTTTGAAGAGCAGCAGCAATGTCATTTTGCCCAATATCAAATGTGTAGATAGCCTTGGAAAAATCCTCTGGCTTTGGATAGGAATTTCCCTGTCCTGCAAATAATTACAAATATTTATTATTTAGTTTAATTGTTTATCCGTAACTTCACCATGAAAATTGAGGAAAGCTATCCTCATAATATATAATAAAAAGCGATAGAAAACAAAAGAGAAAGTTGCGTGAGCAAGAGAGATAAAAGTGTTATAAACATTATATAAGTGGAAAAGGTTATGTTTAAGTGAAAGTGGTAGAGAAAATAAATTTTAACCATATAACTACATGTAAATATTGACTATTCTAGGTTACTTAATGTTGTGAAACCATACTTAAATTGTTTTTTTTTTTTTTAATTTTAAATACTCATTATATGCATATACATTCAAAGCAATATAATTGAATGGGATGAAAATTATTAATAGTGGTGAAAAGTTCGAGAAATGTATATATACACAAAAAAAATTTATATTCAAACATTAGTATAATATTTTAGCGAAAAATCAATAGTTGAATTGGTGTTAAGATGGGATTCATCGAGATTAATGCCTTTTTAAGTATTATATGTATGTGATGTAATGCATTTTGTATAATTTACCCATAGAGGCGTTATATTTAAATCAAGAATAATTCTAATGGAAGATTATTCTTATACGTATACGGCATTAATTGGCATTAATACAATAAAGGATGCGTAATAAACACAAATTATGATGGGTATCAATACATTAAATTAAAACTGAATAAAAGCATGATCATTTGGGTCAGAGCAGGAAATTTGGGTTTGGGGCAAAACACAGAACATATAATAATGCTTTAGTAAAAGAATTGTATGCTTAAATGAATATTACATAGTAAATCATTTGTGCTTTAAAAAAAAAAGAAAAAAGTAAAACAAAGATGTCACTAAACCAATTTTCTAGCTATATATACTTAAAGCCAAAATGAAGGAACCTTATTATTGTTGATCGTACCAAATTAATCTTGTTGATGAAAGGATAAGACGATCTGTCACTATAATAAAATAGATTTTTAGTGGCATTTAATATGATTTTTAGTGACAATAAAAATTGCTACAAAATATTTTACCGATATTTCACACATTAGTCATTGTATGCAGTGTCGCTAAAATATTTATCGGCAATTATTTTACATGCTAGTAAAGATTCTCATAATGGTCGGGAAAAGTGTATAACTTTTTGTGTTATTTGTTATTGGTATTTAAAATTGTCGTTAAAAATTTAAGAAAAGATTTATAATACTCTTTAGTTACCTTATTTCTAATTAATGTGAGACTTAGAAGATGAAGGTTATTATCTTCTAAGTATATATTCTTTAATTTTAAGTTATAAGTCTAACTCAACCTTATAAAACATACTTGTAAGGTGAGAGTTATCATTCACTTATATACTTTTTAATTATTTTATTTCTAGTCGATGTGGGACTTAAATTTTTTCTAACAAATAATTGTCGCTAATAGTAAATTTTGATGTGATGTAAATACATTTTTAGTGACCATTATATAATAGTCATTAATATTTTTATTAAATAATAAAATAAAAACAATTAATTTATTTTCATTAAATAATTATTGGTAATACTATATTTTATTGTAGCGTGTTTTCTCAGGTCTAATTCAAGGAAGGAAAGTTTCAAAACTAATAATACGAGGATATTGCTTCTGGGATTAACATGTTTGTTATCCAAGTTCTTCATTTACGTGTTAGATCATAAATGCCCCATCACTTGCATTTACGTGTTAGATCATAAATACCCCATCCCCATCACTTGCATTTACGTGTTTGTTAGCATGTAATTATCGATATTCGTCATTTTAATTTTCATGTAAAAGTAACCTAAACTTCACACATGGAATTAAAGAACCTTGGTTGTAGAACTTGGCAGTGCGTGTCTTAAATTGGATGAACTGTGACACTTGAATTTCGAGATTGAAAGGACTACCACCGTCAAAGAAGGTTCTGTTTTGGCGCCTAATAGTTGATGCTGCTGCTGCAAAGTTTGCACCGTGACTATAACTTGATCCAATTGAGTCCATGTATGCACTCAAGTATGGCAAACCTAGGTGCTTGGCTGCATATGCAAATCACCCACAATCATCAGTTGCTTCTATTTCTTGTTAGGAATTAAACATTGGTAGGTGATATACATATATTCAATCTTAGCTTTCATATGAATATACTACAATACATGTATTAATTATATATAACAAGGTTAGGCTAGCTATTGAATCTAATCTTTATTAAAGAAATCAGAATACTATAATGCATGCGCCAGTTTGGTTTAAGAAATTTTATTTCTTATTTTCATAAATAACTAATTAAGAAATGTCATATCATTTTAGCTCAGTTTCTAAATTTATACAAACCTTTTGGTGTTTTGTCGATCACTTTGTTACAAAAATGTTTATATGACTCCATTACGTTTTGCCACATATCAATGTCATGCCATAAAATATTAATTAAATGTATTTTTGTCTCCATAATATATGTTTTTCTTTTGTAATATATACAATTTTATTTTTCTTGAAATATGTGAATAATTTACTTTTAGTTTCTATATTTTTTTCGAAAGGACTAACTTAAAATTAACAAGATATTATAGGGAGAAAAAAAGAGCAAATATATTATAGTGATTACAATAAAATAAAATAAAAACAAAATAAAATAAATATTACAAAGACCACTTTAAAAAGAATTGTACAAAATTCAAATTACAAAACTATACGTTATAAGGATAAAATGATATTTAAACCTACAAAATATTTACGTGACAATGCTAAACCTAATTATTTTTTCAACAGATCAAATCAACGACAATGACTAAAAACATGAAAGAGTTGGAAATTACAAAAAATCATAAACAATTCTTTCTTACAGAAACTAGAAACAAAACTTAATGTTTTGGTGTTCGATGTCTTATATTATTGTAGTTAAATCTCAAGTAGCAGAGAAATATTGGGCATTTCATGGTGTTTATCCTTCTGTATATCCTAATAATATTATTATTTTGTCTATAAAAATAACTAAAACTAATATATTTGCAGATATGAGAAATATATTTAAGCTTTTATAAAAACTGGAAAAAAAAAATTAACTAAGCAAGTTGGTGTAACATAAGGCATACAAACTATATATATATATAATGTAATGTAATGTAATGCTTTTAATTTGGGAAATACAAAGTTCACAGTATACTGTATTTTAAATAATAAAAAATATTTAACTAAGAAAGGAGGAGTACAGTGTTAAATTTGAGAAAAATTAATTAACATATAGTGTCACTATTTGGCCAAATAACAAAAATAAAGAAGAATAATAATGTGAATGAGAAAAAGTGTACCAATGAAATCTATGATAAGGCGTCCATCAGAAGCTCTCCCTGCAGCCTCATGGAAGAAGGTCTGACCATATGGCAAAGCCGCAGGGAAAAATGCTGCTGACATGCATCCAGTGTCTGAATTGGAGTCACCAAAGTTGAATATAGCTTCAAAACCACATGCTTCTGAGGCTTTCACTTCTTCATCAGCTCCTATACTCACAAACTCTTGTGAGAGTAAAATCACAGCAACAACCAACTGTTTCAGGAGTCCCATTATGGCACCACAAACTCTATGTTTGTTTCACAGCTACGTCCTATGTTGTTAATATATGTACATGTAGGAGTATACCTATTATGTCGGTGTCAAAATATTAGTGGTTGGTAAAGTGTTGGAGCTTTGGAAGCATAATTAAGTATTTGATGGAGAAACAATTAAAAGAATGCAGCTGTGAATTCTCGTTTTGTATATTGAGCTGGATTTTGTTAAGAGACAAACCTTTTATAAAATTAGAATTAATTCAATATGATTCATTCATCTCACTTGTCTTATTTGAGCATCTCGATCGTGTATGTTTTTTTATGCCATACTTTTTGTCTTAAGATTGGGTCATGTTAATCGAAATTTAGCATTATAGGTTTACGATCATTTAGACAATAAATTAAACGTTTAATTACATTTTTTTCCATCATATACATTGTGATTGTGCATTTTAGTTCTTCCTATGTTCCAATTTTGTCAATTGGATCTCTTGCTTTTCACTCATTTACAATCAGTTTCCTCTATTTTAACTAAGGATTATTGTGAATCCGAAGGATTCAATTACACGAGCACCGATAATGAAAAACTTTCACTTTTTTTTTTTACTCTTTGGTCTTCCGATTATTAGGCTTTAAGTGTATGGTCCACTCAACCATAAAGCAAGAAAAACTCTTCTTTAGACCTTCAAAATAATATAAAATATATATTAGTATTTATAAAAATTTTATTATTAATTAGCTTATTAGTATAATGATAATTAAGGTGCCCCATTTTGTAAATAAATTTGTAATATTGTTGAAGAAAATATTGTTTTTATTTTGAACACCGATTTTTTTTTTGTTACTTTTTCAAATTTTATAAAGACTTCCTATTAAAATTTGTTTTATAATGATTGTCTTTATAGTAAAAGAGTTCACACACTACTACAAAAACAGTATTTAACATCGCTATATTTACATCAGTTCTACCAGAACCGATGTAAATCATAAACGCGGTGGCAAACTTGTAAATAAATATAAAATAAAAACATATTTACATCGGTTTTGCTTATGACTGATGTAGAAGATAAATCCGGGAGTTGTTCTACATCGGTTTTTCTTATAACCGATGTAGAAATGAAACCCTAACATTCTCGCGCGGGTGCACACTCCCCCTCTCTTCAAATTCCCAAACCTCCAAGACGCCAAAGCCCTCTTCGATTCCATCGCCACCTCCTCCACTCCTACGCCGTTGTCGTCGCCTCCCCCTCTAACTCCCCCACTTGACCGTCGTTCAATACTCCTAATCGGAATAATCAAAGAGAAAGCATCGCAGAGCAAGGCGGCGCTACTCTCCTAATGGACCACCCTCTCCCTCCTCTACGCCACCACCCACGACTCCTCCGTGCCCCCCACGCGCAAGCACCTCGCCACGCTCATCTCCTCTGCCGATGGCTCACGCACCACTGCCTCCGCCTTCGTCGACCTCCTCATGGACCGCCTCAACGCCACGCACCATGCCACCGTCGCCCTCAAGTGCCTCGCCGTGCACCACATTGTCTGCAACGACACCTTCATCCTCCAGGACCAGCTCTCCGTCTACCCCTCCTCCGGCGGAAGAAACCACCTCAACCTCTCCAACTTCCACCGTAGCACTGCCGACCCCACCTCCTAGGTGCGGTGGTTCGCGCAGCACGTGGAGCAGCTCCTCTGCGCCTCCAGAGACCTCGGCTTCTTCCTCAGAGCCAACTTCGATAGCCAAGACAGGGTCTCGGGGATCACCAACGCGCACCTGTTGACCGAGTTTGACTCCCTCGTGGAGGTGGTGGAGGGGATCTGGAAGAGGCTCGAGCCCACCGAGCGCACCTGGTGATTAGTGTGGATTGCTTTCACGTTTCGTTTTCTATACTTTGGTGATTATTTATGAGAAATAAAGAGTTGGTGTTGTTTTTTTATGCTAAGAGTTTTGCAGATAGTTTTGCTTACTGTGTTCTGGTCTTTTTCGGGTGGAAGGTTGTTGTGTGCTATTAGACTGAAAGGGCTTGGTTGAAATGTATTGAACATGCTAGATTAAAGTCTTTGTGCTTCAGCAGAAAGAACACCCCAAATTCAGAAGAAAGTCTGAAGACCATTTTGTGGAGCACTCCTTGTCCCTCACTGAGGCCTTATGTGGCTTCCAATTTGTGCTGACTCACTTGGATGGTCGTCAACTTCTTATAAAGTCAAATCCAGGGGAGGTTGTCAAGCCTGGTATGTAAATGGTCCACATCTCTTTTAATAGTTCTTAATCTTTTATAGGTTTGGAGTGGGTGAATAAGTTCTTAATTTGTGTCATGTTTTAGTTTAATTGAAGTTTGGCACTTTGGCTTGCATGATAACATTTGGGGATATGCGTGATTGTCATCACTAGTTCTTAATTCTGGTGACAATTTTTTAAATAAAGCTCTTTAATAAAAAGATAACCAAATAACTACATAAATTCAAAATAAAGTACAAACTGTTTATTTACACAACCTCCAACATAAAACATAAATCATCATATATAAATTGACTTTAACTATGACTAATAAACTATAAAATCAAGTCCTAATGTTACACGATTAGAGCAAACCCCAATACTCGTGAAACATTAAGCTTCATTTCCATCAAACTCCTTCTCTTGTACTTGATTTATGTCTGTAAATGATGCTCAACCCAAACACATACAAAATAACACACAAGAAATGAGAATACATCACACTCATGAGCTATATATAAAGCATAAGTGTAGTAATAACATACATACATCATATTTAGACTTCACACAAGCATTCACCTTTATACATCATCAAAAACTATGTACATACATCTCAATTATATCAATCTACTTTAAAGCTCATTTAGGAAACCAAAATCATTAAAGCTAATATACATAGACTCATGTAAATGCATGCACCTAATTCTGCATGCAATCCCCTCATCATCCTCAACTTAGAATAGCCTAGGAGCCATTGAATGAGACCACCCTATTTATGTGTTGGGACCCCATCCTTGGTGACACCTTCGAACCATCCTCAACTAGGGGACTGATGAAGATTTTTCACAAACCTACCACTTGGCAAGTGAACCAAGTTTCGAAGTAGTATTTAAAGATCGTCCTCAGGGATTTGCGTGTTTAGTAATTCTCGCTCTAATGATTTAAAAGAGAATGATTTTAAAATCGCAATTGAATGGAAATAGATTCAAACAACACAATAAAGTAAATGTAGTAAAGACAATGATAAGGAAACAAGGATTGGCTCAGAGCACTTGCTAACTCATAGATCTTCTTAAAATAAATGCAATTCTAATTTCATTATTTCCACGTTCATTAAATAATTCAACAAGATTCCTCAAGGTTGAATCCTAAAGTCATTAAGCTCAAAACATGATTCCTCAATGTTTTGAGTCTAACACTTCGCATTAAGAACAATAACTTGAACAATGTGACTAACCAAATCAAGTCTATTCCTAGAACAAGAGGTGATTAGGTGCAAGATTCAGTTCGGGTTTTCGAAAACGTTTTCCAACTGGATTCAAAAGCCAAAAATCATACAACGGTTGATCAAGCCGATATAAGCGTTAAGCGAAGAATCATTACACAAATAATGAGATCAAAATGCATATATTTAAGAAGAAGAGGAGTTAGTAGTTACATCTAACCAATCCTTAAGAAGTTTAGCCACCCATGGCCATTACAGAATCAAAGAGTGAAAAGAAGAAATTACAAAGCAAAGGATGAAGAAATGGAGTTGATCTTCGTCCCCAAAGGATCCAGCTTCCAAATCTCTGTTCTTTCTTCGTTCTTCCTTCCCCACCAGCTTTTCCCCTGTTTTTCTCTCTTCAATTCGTGCTCTGTATGATATCCCACAGTTCTCCTCCTTTTTCCCTTTTATATCAGCTCTAAAACTGAGCAAAAAGTGAAATTTTTAACTCCACCGCTGCAGCTATAGAACCACAGCTATGGCTGTGGAGAATCCTTCAAGGTGAAGTAACGTCTGGCGCTGCAGCTGTAGCTCTGCAGCCATGGCTGTGGGGACTCCTTCATGATTAAGCCACTTCCTGAGCTGTAGATGTGAAACCACAGCTATGGCTGTGAGTCTCTGTGGCTTCCCTTGATTTCCCAAGCCTCAGCGCTCAAGCCTTGGATCCTGCAACTGTAGCTTCAAGTCTCTGGAACCAAAAATGAGCATTCCAGATTTCCATAGCTATAGCTGCAGAACCACAGCTATAGCTGCAAGTCTCTAGACCTCTATATCCTTCCCAGACTTCCACAGCTCGAGCTCCAGATCCACAGCTATGACTGTGGATCTCTGCCTAGCCAAAAAATCCTGCAAAAAATGAGACAATTCCTTAAGATTACTACTACTCCTCTACTCTTACAGTATGACTTAATTCTATAAATAAAAGGGGTGAAATGTCATATAAATATCTACAATTATACAAAAAGATTTCCAAGAGTTGAGTGAAAAACATACAAAAAAAGACATTCAACAGGGACGTTCACTAGAGTCCTGTCAAAGTGTTATAGTTGGTCATGATTGTCTCATACCGCCTGCATGAGGTTCCTCCCCATAACATTCCTAATGTCTAGGTAGATGACTTTTTAAGATCTACTTAGACTCACACTATCCTACGAATATAGTAAGTATGCATGGACTCTACTAATAATTAACATCACATATCACATACCTACAACAACCATTAATGCAACTTTGTCATACCATAGTCCTAAACTCATCCACCACATCCGGTCACATTTTCCCATAGTGACTCATCACAACATGAATAATCATATCTCAACATCACATCACATCAACTCAACCATACTTCACCATCATTCATTTCATACATCATATTATCACCATACATCATCATCATAACATCATCACACAACATAACATTATCATTACTCATATTATTCATTCATTGCATGTTATACAATATAACATCATTTACTAGTATCTCAAATGTTCTACGCGTCATTCTCAAGTCAAATATACACATTTCTTATCACACATAGGCACAAAGTAT